GAATGCCGAACACAGCGGTCGACCTTCCATCCGAGAGTTTTGCATCCATGTCGTTCAAGGTTCGTTCACACCGGTCTTCCACCTATCTCCACAAATTCGCGACACAAATTCGTTCGGTCTCGTCGAAGCCTGACGCGATTTCGCAGATCAAAGGAAACGTCACGCTTCGTATTCCCCACGCAAATGGCGTATGACGCGCGAAAGAGCTTCAGAGAAAGATTCCACGAAGGAAAAGACAAACCTGTCGTGCATATCAAGAAGCTCGCTTCCTTTGTCCTATCGCGACGTGCAATGCGAACCGACGAGCTCCGAAATTCTCTATCGAAACATCAGACAGGAACGAAACAGTCGGGAATTTCGCGAGAACAACTTGGAGCACGATTAAGGTCAGAGGGACATTTTAAAACCATCACGTGACACGAGGCTAACATTTCACGCGGATCCTAACATTTTCACCTGTTCGACAACTATTCGTTTCTCGCATCGAGAGACAGCCGAGGCCTTCGAAAACTTGTTTGAAAGCTACCGAACGATATGGTACCCTATACTCGTCGCGTCTCGATACTTCTGTTTCGCAAAAATGTCCAGCCACGATTATGCACGAACGTTTCTCGTTCCCGAGTTTGCCCTGGTCTCCGCAACATCGCTTCCACGATCGGAAAAGTTCACGATCGCCGTGCCCCGCGTTTCGTCCAAATTTCCGACGGACGCTCTCGTTGTCGCGACGTTGCAAGTCGATATCGTCGCGCCCTTTTTTAATGAGAATGTCAAGCCATTCCCATCCGAGTGGGAATCGGAAAGACAATCGTTCGTTGGCGATAGAGAATCGGGATGAAGCAATTTGTTTATACCGCCGGTAGACTGTTTCGTCACGAAAAAACGTTTCGCCGTTACGTTTCTACCAGGGGTGTGCCCACGCGAGCGTTTCCCACAAACGGAATGCGAGCACGTTCCCATAATTCATTTTTATGCAACGGCGTCGGTGCTCGTTATCGATCCCTGCTTGGAAAACCACGATCCCGTTATAAAGGTAGCACAACCGTTGTCGGACTACGTGTTTTTCAGCATCGAGGACGTCCACTCTCCGAGAAGGACCGTAAAGAGAGCTTCACACCGAAATCCACCGTGTCCAGGACACAGCTGCTTCGCGAACAAGCACCCCTTGGAAAGAGAGTATCGCGGCGAAAGTATCCTACTTCTTTCTTCCTTTTTTTCTTCTTTTTTTCCTTTTTTTTTTTTTTCCGTTAAACGACAAGTAATCTCGTCTCGTTCGAAAGGTTCTCGTCGATCTGCCGACCTTGAACCGGTTTCATTTAATTAGACGTAGCTCGCGGGCAAAGATTTTACGATAATTCAAGTTCATTAACGGGATGTCGCTGCGGTAAATGTGAGAAAAGAATAAAGCACGGGACAAACGAATGTCTACGTTGTAGAAAAGAATGACCGACGGCATCTCGAAAACCTGTTCCAAATATTCGACCTATTTCGCGTAAGCGAGCGAATAAAATGTTGCAAAAAAAGAAGGGAGCGAATGGATATAAATATAAACGAAGAAGTAATGAAAGGAAGAATGTAAATAACCGAATGCCGGGTGAACGTTCCGATGTAGCATTTTAAGTGACGGATGGAACTCTCAATTATGAGAGTTGCAGAAAAAATTCGCACGTACACTTGCGACTATCGGGAATTGACGATCTACCAAGAGCATTCGGTGCGAGTGAAGCAAAGTTTAAAATCGATATCGCGTCGACCAATCTCCTCGTAAATCAATGAAACTTGTTCACGAAAGAAAACGATCAATAGACAGCCTTGATCTGCTTGAAAACAATTGCCCAACCGAACGCGTTCACCTGCGCCGCGAAAATTGCAACACTTACCCCGAGCTCTCGCTGCTCTTCTCGTGTGCAGGTTTTGCAACGCCGACGCTTCTTCGTGACTTATGCAATCCGTGGATGCGTACAGACCTTTGATTATTTACCACCTAACCGGTGTCCCATTCCAGCACGTCCCGACGATTAACCTATCCGAATGCTATCCACTGTCGCGTCGTCGGCGATGTTGTTTGCTTTGCTTCGAGGAAAACCCCGGCGAAAAGATCGACTACGGGTGCCACCCGCCCGTTCGTAACCGGTTCCTCATATTTCCTCCAAATTCCAGGAATCCTACTGATCAATGTAGCTTCGGCTGAGCGCAAGCCTACGAGGCCAAAGTTCAAGATCGCTACGACTTCGACGACCACGAGCAGCACCACCGAAGAGAGTCACGTCCGCGAGAACGAAAACGAAGATGCAGAGGTATGCTCGATGTTACAGCCATTTCACTTTCTAACTCGTCCGAATAATTGTATTCCGAGCATTTATTCGAAAACTATCTAATCCAATCGAGACGACGCCACGATGAATTCGTGATCGAAAACCTGATCGCTAACGATTCCATTCTTACGTATTTACCGGTGCACAGAAATAGAACGGGCAGATCGTTTATCATCGATGATGCAAATCGCGTTGATGATGATACAGTCACGACAAACCACGCATCTGTTCCTATTTTCCAATTACATCTTTGTATACTTGATGCACGTGCAGCAAAGCAAAGATTAGAACGATTACGGTGTCGGTAGCATCGGCTAAACGATGGTTTCTCCCTGTACACGAGCTTTTTTCTGGTTCGTCGTAATTTACGACAATCGACTCGCTCGGATTCCTCGATTGCGCCACGTCCGTGTCAAATTAATTAACGTCTGGCTAAACTATCGTCGCGGCACGTCCGACAAGTTTACCTTCACATACAAACGACACCGTGACATCATCGAACGAGCACCACGAGCTCATCGCTGACCGTTACCGAGAGCCATGGTGAATCTGCGAAGCGTTAAATAAGCAACGTGTCTTAGGACGGATCGTTGCTAATCAATCCGCGCCAACGAGATACGTCGAATAGCTAATAAGAGATACTCTCTTTAATTTTCCTCAGGCGACTACGGCGGTGGTCCCTGAAACGAACGGGACGTCTGGCCACGTCCTAACAGGAATTCCGCAGATCGACTACATCTGGGACCCGAATCTGCCCCGTGAATTGAACGGTTACAATCTCAGCGATTATCCGTTCTACAACAGCATACCAGAGGACATCGACTTCAAATGCGACGGCCTGCACGACGGCTTTTATGCAAGCGTGCCTCATAAATGCCAGGTGAGAAGTATGACGCTTCGTAATTATTCTCCTTGACGCGGTATCAATTCCTTGCCTATTCTTGGCGATGAAAATTAGCGAGCTTTCTCTTTCCTTAAATACCGTCAACGTCTCCAAGGATATACGCTGACTCGTTTTAACGTGTTTAAAAAGTTTCCAAGAAGAAGGCGCATTCGATCGCCTACTTCTTTCTTCTTTTTACGAGCAATACGTTCGAGATGACAAGCGTGTACTGCTAAGCAAAGTTTCCCGTTTCGAGGGACGAAACGAAGAGGTAAAATGACTCAAGACCAGGATCGGATTGTAGGAGACACTAAAGTAAGGACAAACGAAGCCGTGCGGGAAAGCGTCTGCTTCTTCTGGACTAGATATACCTTTTTAGACTCGATCTAATAAGGTCCAGTTTCTCGAGGTAAATCAGTCCATAACGCCACGTTACGCGAGGACTCTCTAGGCAGCCCGTGGAAATCCTTGCACATTCTCGTACTATTTGCGTAACGAGTACAGGACGAGATCGTTCTTCATCGCGATGGAAATTGTACAAAGATAAACTGACAATGTAGGATGAAACATGTGCAAACGTTGAGAAACACCCTGTATACCGCCCCTTTGCAAACCCGTTCGTAATCACGTAAATCGAGAAACACGGTACCGATCGCGACCATTGCAAGAGTAAAAGTGGATATCGTGACCGCTCTAGTGAAAAGGAAAGTCAGTGTCATCTGGATGAATGCCGGAGAAAGATTTTCTGACAAGGTGTATCGTCTATTCGCATAATGAACAGTCGTCAACGGTCCGTGACTGCGGTTCCCCTGTTTCTATCGAGCAAAAGCATCGATCGTGAACTAAACAGGCCAACGTCTGACGATGTAAATAAGAAAGAATTTTTGCAACGTGTTTATCCATCTTAGGAGGAAATACGAATTTCCTGTTTCGACGCGATAATACTCCCGCGAGAGGATTTCTGGCGGAAAAGCGAAAACGGTGAGACCATGGAGGAAAACTTGAAGAAAAGAAGAGACTTTCGCGGTCCGATACACTTCCCGTCCCTGACCGTTCCAAGATTCACGCGCGCCGATCTTGGAATTGTGAAAGCGATTGCAAAGTACCCCTTTCCGACGTTCCTTATCGATTGTTTAGCCCCAGCTACCGAGGGAATGGGCTATTGTCATGCAAATCTTTGCAGATTCGCTTCACTCGGCCCTGTGTGGAGTAACGATGCCAAAGCCGGATATCATGGAGGGGGGGAGCAACAAAAATCTATCGCGAAATCAGTCAGGATTTAATAGAACGTTTCGCCATTTGACACGTGTTCCGCTTCATCGAACTATAATCGCTAGAACGGTTTCGACGATCATGCTTTTCTAACAGATGGCCGTGGTCGAGACTGCGGTAAGTTTGACATTTAGCAGCTACGAGTTGAGCAATATTCGCGAGCCATCATCGCAAAATCGCTGAACCAAGCAGTTTCGAGATGCTTAGAAACGACACAATTACGAACGATTTTAATCCGAGCGCATTCTTGTCATGCAGATACGCAACGAGTTACTTCCTGCAATTTATAATAGAACAGGGGACTCCGACTTTCCAATAAAATTACCAAAGCATAGAGAAACTCTAGGCTGTTCGAGACTACTGAGCGCGCATGCAAAAAGATTCGATTAAAAGTCATCGAGATTGAAAGAACAGGGATAACGGAGAAACGGATGGATGACGATTAACTAACGTATGAATTATGCGAGGACCGATGTCCGTCATTCGAGATGACGAAAAAGTAAATCCAAGAGTATTTTAGAGAAACGAAACCAAGCATTGAACGAACGAGCGAGGACGTGCTCTGAATGATTCTAGATGATTCCTTTAGATAATCCGTCCAAGCGATACGTGCCAGACAATCATAGATACTTTTACAAAGACAAGTTGCCTGTATGTGCAATACCAGTAGCTATACCTGTGTGGTCTCGAAGCAATTACTCGTGCACACGTAGTCGCGGTGTGAAAGCTACGATGGTGTCTAGCAACGTCGAGCGTCTGTATTTGATGAAAAGTGTGTTAAGACTGTCATTAAATCCACCCTGTTCCGAAATTTCGACCAAACCGTAGGAATAAGGTGAAAGGTAGTTTGTCGTAAATTCGCGAAGACACTATGGCCAGGTGCCTTTTAAAAGCGTTATAATTTCACCAGGATTCGTTTGCTTTCACAAACCATCGAGTAATTTACGTATTATTTCTTTTCCAAGGTATACCATCATTGTCTTTTCGGAACGCGATACGACTTCCTCTGCGCAAACTTCACGGCATTCGACCAAAAGACTTTCATCTGTCATTTCGTCTCCGAAGTCGACTGTGCCAACTCGAAAAAGTACTGGCACAGAAACGATGCCCTCTACAAAGCCACTACCACCTCGACGACGTCTACCTCGACAACCACGCTGGCACCGGTGACTGCCGCTACGGGACGTCAGTCATCGAGAGACAGAGACCATCCGAGAAGGAGACGACCCTTCAGAAGACGACCAGCGTATGATTACTACGACGAAGAGTATTACGACGACGATTACAGCCGACCACGTGGCTACAGCAGAGATGATTACGACTACGACGATCGAAAATATAGAAGGGACAGAGATCGCGACTTTAGAGATCGAGATCGCGATTTCCGAGACAGAGATAGTCCTAGGTCCAGAGATGGAGCCCCTAGAGATGACAGAGACCGCGACGTCAACGCCAGGGATCGGTATCCGAGTAGAAACAATAGAAGAGATCCTACTAGAGTGAGAGACCCTTTGGAGGACGACACGAGAGTCAGATCCAGAGATTCCGATCAAGGATTAAGGTCCGCGTCTAGGGAAATCGACGACGCGGAGGTGGATGATCGTCGAACCGAATCTAGGATCAGGGACCCCGATGATCGTCGATACTCCGATAAAAGGTAGTTGACCCTTTGAGCGCTGAATTGAGCGACGTTAAGCGTGTGCCAAGTATCAATATATGCTTTCATAGCCTATAGTGAACGATTTTGCCAAACGCGCGTACGTGTTGCTAGCGCTCAGAAGGTTAAGGGAGTTGCTTAATTTCTCAATTCGCAATTGGATGAAGAACCGAGCTAATTCTTCTGCAGGTACAGGGACGATTACGAGGATAAAGATCCTGCTTCCGCGTCTGCAGGTGCATCTACGAGCTCAGAGGGCCTGGTAAAACCTGCGGCACCTGCAACGTCGGTCTACGCAAGACCAAGAGCGCCTCCTAAGATACGAAGACCGGTACCGCTTTCCGAACAGGACAAGTACGCTTACAAAGCTACTGCTGTTCAATCAACTGGTAACTTCGAGCCCTTTGCTTATTATACACTCCTTGAACGACTTGTGATTAGATTCTAGATAAATCCAGACACGTTTTTTTGCAGAAGAGCCACGGAGGAGGCCGGTAGACGTTGCAGATGATGACTATTACGAAGATGAATTGGAGGATTTGAGACCAGTTCGAAGACCATTGAGGAGAAGACCGACTTACAGAGACAGAGACAGAGATAGGGACTTCTATGATGTAGTAGAGAGGGATAGAGGCCGACCCTTCAGGTAAGGTAACGTACGTACACAACACCGATACAATTATATTCGTTCGTCGTAACCGAATTAATCAGAACACCTTGTCTAACGATACTGTAACATGTAACACGAAATAACATACGCATCTCGTAATGCAACATCGTTGAACGCATACATTCGTACGAGAGAGGAGATAAAGTCCATCGAGATTAACAAAATTCCTGATTGTAGACCTCGATATCGGGACGACGAGGATGACTTGCGACCAAGAAAACACTCCGATCGCTCGAGAGATCGCTACTACGATCGAGATAGGGATCGAGGCGTGGAACGTGGAAGAGATCGATCCCTCGATCGCGGAAAAGATCGTAACGCAGACAGATCGCTGGATCGTGATCGGGGAAGAATGCAAGATGCTGAGAAATCGGAAAGACCACATCGGCCTCTCGACAAAGACCGGGACATCGACCGTCCTAGATCGGGTTCAAGATCGAAGGATTTACAAGAAACTACGGATGCGCCGTCTAGAAGGGGCAGTAATTACGACCGCACTGAAAGAACTACCACGACAACTACGACAACCACTACCTGTCTGCCCGAACAGTTCGTTCATAAAACAGAATCCACTTCAAAGGAATCCCTAAACGACAAGCAAACTTTCACCGAAAGACCATCCAAATCTGCACCGAATCAAACAACGCGAACACCGATCGAAGACGGAGTCTCTCATCGAACGAATCAACAGACGGATTATCAAGAAAGGGATCAAGACGAGAAACGTGAACGGGGTCAGTATCAGACCACATCGATCGAGGAATATTCGCAAGATTATTACGACGAACCGGAAGATCCACCCGCTCCGCCACCACGAACCACGGTCCGCATTGTTAAACGACCCTTTTTGCCATCTAGAGGCGGCAACCCCAATCCAAGAGGCTTGTCTCCAGTTGGTGCGAAGGCCACCACGCCTAAGAAGGAAGAGGACAAGTCGACTGAAAGGACGACTAATCAGGAAAGATCCAAAAATTATTACGTACACGAGACAATGCAGGAAAACTCCAGAGAATCTAACCAAGAGGTCAAGACGCAACAAGAGCAAAAGGAAAGTTACGATGCATACAAGCATATCCAGAACCAGAATCAGAACCAGAACCAGAACCAGCACGAGTACAGACACGACGAGTATGATACCTCTATAGCCAGACCCGCGATTCGTCGACCGACCGATAGACAACGGGAAGAAGAAACGCAAAAGTCCATAGACGACGCATTCGTCAGAGGATCCAAGCAGGAACAATCGAACAATGGACAAAACTTTGACGAAGGATTGGCTAAATGGTCTACCGACGAGTTCTCCAATCCCACGCAGGGTAACGAAGGGAACGTGCAAGCTTCTGGTTCATCGTTTCGTAACAAAGGAAGACTAACCACGAATGAAAATCCGAGTGTCTATGGGTCGACTTTCAAGAACGACGAAGCCCAAGAACAACCGACAGGGCCTCAGAATTTCAGAGTGAAACAGAGACTCAACGAGGTGACGCATAGACTGCAAGATATCCCGGAAAGTGAATACGACGTCACTCTGAACGATGCACTGACGCCAACGTTGAATCAGGAGACGAACTTGCCTAGCGGATTCGTGCTACCTCTTCACAGACAGCTCGGCAGAGACGCGGTTCTCCAGTCGTCGGAAAATAACTACAAAGTTTCCAGACCCGTAACTCAGCAACAGCAAAAACCGTTCGTGCCTAATCCTCAATTTTTACCGACAGTCAACACCAACGACAGATTAAGAACCGTTTATTACAGAACGCCCGAAGCTGTACAAATCAACGGAGCGCAATATAGGCCGCAAAGAGGATCATGGCACGACTACACTGGCTACTGAACGAAATTCTAACGAGAAAGAAATATCGACGGATACTTTGCAACTTTACGGAATGGGCCAATCGGGCAAATTTTCGTAAATTGCATAACACTGCGCACGAGTGAAATTCACTTGTATCAAGATCGATCGGTTATTCGAAGGAGCAGACTTTTACGGAAATTGATTTCCTTTGAAAACGAAGGAAAGTATCAGACCCTTGATCACGTGGTCAAACTTTTCGACGTCTTTCATACTGGGCAGGGAGGGCGAGAGAGGGGGGGGGGGGAACATGGCGGATAGTTATCGCGTATTAAAACTTGAAAGCAGGAAACGAAAATCCGATTAACGAAACAGCGACGCAAATGCAAAAGAGCATCGCGAAATCCAAGTATCGATTATGTTCCCTGTTCGAACGAATCATTTTCCCAAGATTCGTTCTTTCCCACGACACTTTTCCAAAACCCGTACCGTACCATCGGCATACGTTTCGGTCACTTTTTAATCGCTATGGAATAAAACTCCAACGACTGTTTCTATTTTCGGCTAAACCTGTAAATATGCGCACAATTACGCCTAATTCTATCATTTCTTCGAGTTAAATTATTAACGTAAGCGCAACACACGTGTAAACAGTTTTCTACGAAAGCACATTCGTCGTCTCGATTTATTTTTTTTTTTTCGATATTAGTAGCGAATAAGTTTTCTCGAGTATGCATCTTATCCGTAATGTATTGTAAATTATACCAGCCTTGACGTACGATATTAAAAAGTGAAAAAATGTAAAAGTCTGTTTGGTATCCTAACACTAACTCTGTTGCAGGCTAAAGACACCGGAGCTGGAAGAGAATGACATTAGCAGCGGATGGAAAGTGACTAGGAATATACGTACACGCGGATTAATCTCGTAGCCATTAGCTCGGTATTGTTTACGATAGAATACAGGTATTTCATCGTAAATAATATCGATTTCCCGAGTCTCACCACGAGGAGGTTGCTACGAATGGAGACTCGCAAAAATAAGTTTCTCACCGTTTAAGATACAATTCCGTCCATCCATTGTCGCATAATCTGCTCGAGAAATAAATAATACGAGAATGAAAGGGCTAAACGAAGAAATTAATCCGACTATGTACTCTTAATACGTAGGAACGACGATGAAGAAGAAGTAAATAAGCAGGATGGTTGAAAGGAATGTTAAGAATCAATATTACACCATCTGAGTGTTATTTCTTTATTTTCTATTTTATATTTATCAATGTTAAATATTTACAAATTCTTCGTGCGGCCACTGCTGACCTAATTCTGATGACATATCTCATATATGCATTTTGATAGAAATAAATGAATTCAATGACTCTTTAAACATGGTGGCTACCGAATTTGCTACATAAAAGCAATACTTCGTTGTCAGAAAAAGAGGTGAACCTTTTATGAATATGTTGCATCCAGAAAGAATGATGTACGGTGTACGTATAACGTCGAAGAACTCGAAAAACGGTAGATCCTTGCAATCGAGTAAATATCACTCCTAACAGATTGTGCCAACAGATCACAAATGAATCGATAATGAATATTTCGTCAAGGATAACGTAAAATACATCACAGAGTAAAATCTATAACAGAGCCACGTGCACACAAAATAAGTCGCCCGTATTAACGCGATAGGCAAAATAAATTTCTAGGGGAAAATTCTCTCCCCTAAACTCGCATGACTCGATGTGGAACTACTGCAACAATTCTAGCGCAAGATTGTCGGCGTTTTGCGTAAACGTGGCTATAATCAAAAAACGGTAACAATAATAACATTCAGTCGAATTGTCAAACTGCATTGCAGAGTGTAGCCTAATAGAAGTGATTGTAACAAGTGAAGAAGCGCGGTGCCGTTGTCGTGTCTGTGATCTCATCGCAATATACGAAAGAAATTTCAGCGATTCACAACTTAAAACCAAATAATTCGCTAGTACCAGTCGCGCACCGTTTCAATTTGTACTCGCGAACTATAAAAATATCAAATCTCGTCTCGCGATGTCGAGCGGTCTAACGAATCAGAATTGATATCCCCCGAGCACCGACTAATTACTCTGATTAGCTTCTAGTGCGTAGTTCTGTACAAAAATGATAGAGTACAAGAATAGGTTAAATATATATAATATGTATATAAATCTCGCAAATGTACGTTTCAATTATCTTTCGCGAGTGGAGACTCTCCCCTTATTTGTTAGGAATATTTATATATATGTATATATACACACACTCACACATATACATATATATGCAATCTTCCTCGGAATCACGATTAGATTATACACTATAGGAAAGAGAATGATTGGCTGGCAAGAATACGCACCCGCGGAATGGCGGAAAGTTATTTACAAATTTTGTTATATTACAGAAACAATATCGAGCATGAAAAGAGATGCAACATTCGTTTGGTATGAGTGCAGTAGTGTCTAAACGTCTTGCAATTAAAAAGTTAACTCCTTTCGATTCGTAAGGAAAATAGAAATCGCCAACTCTTTACGCACAGCAAGTTTTCTTCCGTCTCTTTCTCTTTCTCCCCCTCTCTGTCTTTCTCTGTCTTTCTCTTTCTCTCTCTCTCTCTCTCCCTCTCTTTCTCTCGTTGAATCCAATCCACGCATGTAACTGTACCAATTCTCTCTCTCTCTCTCTCTCCCTCTCTTTCTCTCGTTGAATCCAATCCACGCATGTAACTGTACCAGCATCGCAGAAATGCTTGCGGAACGCACACTGTTTAATTAACAGAAGGATTCTTCGAGCCTTTGCATGCGATCGGACGTATGTACTAATTGAAATCCTGAAACATTTATTCTTTGGTAAAGTAACATTTGCTTTTGAGAGTTATCCTCGAAAGAACAAGACATTCAGAGAGAACGAGGAAAATCTATCCACATGACACGATTTCGGTACTCCGGATGTAGCATCGATTTATAAGAAATTTCGCAGAGTAAGAAACGATAATAATGGAAAGAAATAACGAAGGAAATACATTGCTTATAAACGATCGCATCGATATTAATCGCGTCACATGCACAAATTTCATTGCACGAAATTACAATCTTGTTACGAGCGCGGATAATTCGTCCTAAATTTTGAGTACAGTGAAAGATGGGCCGCGATAATCATCGATTTTATACAATATATCGATAACGCGTAACGATTTACTGACCAGCTTCTTAATATCATGGTAAAAAATTATGCTTTCAATATGTCCTTAAAAACTATCGAAAACGCAGTCAATTATCCCGTATCCCTTACAACCATCGTATATAAACATAGATTCGGTGATCGTGTAAGTAGCAATATTTTTATGCAAGATATTCCGAGTATTCGTAGAAAAATTATTCGAACGTAGAGCAAAGGAATTGGTAATATTGCCAAACGTTTACGCAGCTTTCAACCATCGATAAGGATGTTTGATATGTTTAGAAACGATTGTCACCGCGTACACGCATAAATGTACATAAAGACGTTGGCGAAAATCAATTTAGCATATCGGCATAAAACTCATCTACTTACACTGACACTCGTTTACATTTAGCCTCTTAATTCAGTTCGACGAATATTTTTCCCTCGCATGTATCTTGCACCTAATCCTTTCCTCCATATATACACAAAGTTACACAATATTGTTCCCTAAGCGTAACAAGCTTCAAGAGAAGACTTTCATGTGCGATGTTGAACGTTGAATGAAATGCTCGAAATCACGATTACAGAGGTATAAGCGGTTAAATGCATTGTCTATAGAAAAGCCGGCGGAGAAATCGATGGAGATTTTCTCACAACCTGTCCAGAAAGACGAAGAAATTGGACGTGAACCGGTATTAAATTTTTGTTGCGGTCATTCGGTAAGGCGATCCACGTAGCGGTAACTCAAAGCTTGTCGCTTTAAATTATCAATTGTGTAACTGAGCGTCTCCGCGTTAATGTTTTTGCTTTTGATAAAGCCTTTCGCAATTTGTACACGGCACACAAATTAGTTAATATTAGATACCTGCTTACGCTATAGGTGGATCGTCATCGTCGTCGTCGTCTCTCGTGACTAGGACATTACCATAATGATTTGGACGAAGCTGTCGAATTCGTTGCAGCCACTTATACTGCCTCGCGACAAAATACAGTACTACGATCAGTACTATGAGAAAGATTGGTATCAGTAAACCAGCGGCTACAGAGCTACCTAAACAAAATTTAAAAAGAATTTCTTTTAGCGGTTCTTTCTTTCACGAAAACTCCATCTTGTCGTTCATCTATGACTACCCGATAAACTAGTGTCATTCATCAGAGTATTATTCGCTTTCTACGATCTTACGAAAAATATTCGATCTTCTCGCTCCTATTATATATACCTCTTGAGTTGACTTTGGCGTCTAAATGATCGGTGGTTATGTTAGCAACCGTGGTAGTTGCAACTTGAATACATTCTTCTCCTTCCAGCTCGTAACCATGCTCGCATCTGCATTGTGATTCTGCATCCTTCGACGATTGAAAGCATCTTTGATGTAAACCACATTCCTCGTTCAGGTCGTGGATGTCACAGGATTTAAATACAGCCGTTTCATTTCCAGCTGAAAAATTTGACCATTCGATAATTTACTGTCGATCAAGCAAACGCATCGAGATGAACGAGTAACGTTTAAATCATGCGAGATAAAGTTCAATCAGCCAACGTGTCGTGCTACAAAGATTGAAAGCAGGGGACACGAATTGAAAGCAGGGGACATAGAGAGCTTTCGTAGTTAATTCGCCTAAACAAAGGTTAATAGATATGGGTATCAGTCACGACAGACAAACAATGAGGCGAACGAGGGCTTTGCCAGCATTGCGACGAGAAATGCGCAACATGTTGCAATATCTTAACTCTGAAAACCTGTGTACGTGGGATTAACACGGTCTATCAATTTTCATCCTATAAGCGAGGAATGTCTAACTAGGCTAAGCTACGGTTTATTACGCACTTATCGAGTCATTATCCATTGTCTTAGATAAAACGATGACTAACCGATAAGCCGAATAGATAACGCTTTGATAATTATCGAATCGTTGATAATCGAATTAAACGAGTTCGCCGTTATTATATAGCTTTGTTATAGCTGTCAAAGTCAACCGACAGTGACGATTGTTTTTTCGCTTCCTTTCACAATGAAAGATACACAAAGCGATTCGAGCGAGAGTGGTGTCATTGTGACTCTATCAACACTGAGTCGTCGATGCGTGAGTGGAAATTGGCTGAATCAGTTAATCGAGACGAATTCATTTTATCAGATGGAATACAGAGGTTAACTACGCCAATGTAGAATCAAGCAAATTAACGGACTTTCTTTTGATTTAAATCGATAGTATTGCGTTAATCCGATAAGCCGGTAGCGCGTAATTCGTTGAAATACACCAGCAACGATATTTGCAGGACTATCGCGAATCCTAAAGAGATTAACGACATTCGTGATTTCACTTGAAATGTGACGAAAAATTCCTCCGATTAATTCCTATCATCGATACGTGCCGGCGAACTTTGCCTCGATAACGCTGCACAATTCACAGTTCGATCGAACAATGAGACCATTCATTTCGATATTACGCAATACATCCGGATTCCTATTCGCATCAAAATGTCCTGAGCTGTCTCAATTTCTCCCTGTATCGCGGTAACTAAAACCGGACGGGTCTGAAAAAGAAATTACGTAAATATACGATCCGTAGGACGTAGAAACTTTGGCTATAGTTAGACCACGAAAGTACTACGTACTTTGCATTAAGCTATGTATACTTTGTACGCGTGCGACGCAAGAATTCAGCGTGGCTGTGGATAACCGTATCTTGCATAAAATAAATTACATTGTCGGATGGTACTACAGGATGACTAACGGGATCGTCGCGAAACGTTATTCATTCGCGAAGTTAATTACGTGCACAAAGTAACGCGTTTCTACGTCAACTGCGCGCTAATTATTTCCCATGAAACGAAATGCGGGACACGTGGTGACATTTCGAATCGGATGCGTTCGCGGTGCATTTTATTCGTCGCATCCCATTCCTAGATTGCGAGAAACGAAAAGGGACACCGATGTTGAAGGACGACGCTAAACGCGCTATGCATGAAATTTGTTATCATCGTTGATTCATCTTCGTTTTGTAAGCATACGTTATGCGCCTTGGCCGAAAAAATACCCGGCGAAAAGTGGTAAACACGTAGACTGTGGTTCGAAAGTATAACCTTCGTGGTTTCTGGTTACGATTACTTTACAACGGGCAACATTTCGAATGTATTTCGAACGTACTTCGTCTTGTGTAACTTCGTTATTTTCGATGGCACAACGTTGCGAAATATAATTTACACCGCGATGGAAACATACCTGGCCCGTACAAGCTCGCAGGTATATGGAAATGGGCTGGAAAAAATTCCCGAGCACACGATCACGACGGGAAATACCGCGTTGCGAACAATCAAATCAAATTGATTATGCGGTAACGAGCTTCCGCTACGTGACACATTAATCGTTTATCTTTCATTTGGGCAGTGTGTACACGGCGGTAATTGGTGTTTGAAAAATTGAGCACAGGATACGTGCAAGCGAATGCAAAGAGAGCGCGTTTCGTCCAGCGAAATGTATCAATATAGCAGCGAAAAACACAACAGCCGGGGGGCTCAATTTCTGGACCACGAGCACCGAGAAGAGAGAAGACATGTGGACAGTCGAAGCAAGGGTATCAGCGAGAAATGAAGTGAGAGCGAGAGAACGGAGAGAGTAGGGCGAGAGGGAGAAAGAGAGAGAGAGAGAGAGCGAGCGAGCGAGCGAGCGCGAGAGAGAGAGAGTGAGAGAGGGCAGGGATAAAGGGAGAGACGGAGATAAGCGGAAGAAGACTATTGTGGCCTTACAGAGGTGACCTCAATGGTTCGATTGAGCAAACCAATTTTGGCCTCGCACGGTACAAAGACGCTCAATTTACTACCAAACGAAGTGAAAATCGTTTCGGAGAATTCATCCTTACCTGCGTAACTGAATGGCGCTAGAAAAAGTTGTGCCACGATGAGATAGCAGAACACATCGACTCGAACGTTTCGCATTTTCCTTGCTTTTTTTTCCTTTCCTTCGCTCGTTCTTTGTCTTTCTTTCCGCGTATCGTTCGTTCCCGATACACGATCACATAATAATGAACGCGATTATTCGAAGAACACTTACGGTCGATACGATTGTGCCGCTCGGGAATCGTAATGCTGTACGTACAAATGTACACACGCGTCTATCATTAATGTATTCGTCCGGATAACTTAAAACTGTAGCGTGAACGATCAACAGGCACGCGTGAACCGGCTCATCGTCGATCGGCCGGCCGTCACTAGTTTTGACAGATAAATGCTAGGCCGCGCCGCGGAACGCGTTCAATCATCTGTTATTAAACGACCATTTGCAGTTATCGAACTCAATTGGCATCGAGAATCGTATGATACGCTTCGATTTCGAGACATTTCGATAGGAAGATGGCGTTGTGGTACACCTGGCCAGCCGAGAAGCGCGAGATTTGAAATTAGATTTTACACAAAATCGATTCAAATAAATTATTTCTAAGTAGTATTTTTAATTAAAGCTACAAAACGTTATTTCACTTGTAACGAGCCATAATGAACGTATATCGTGCTTTTATTTGCCGTTAAATCGAATTTTTACATTTAAAAATTATACCTCGTCGTTAGAAACCGTTACGTGGTGATCTGTTAGAATTTTGAATAAACTTTTGATAGCATTCTGAATTCGCAACAAATGGATATATTTAGATCGGATGACTAAAGCAACGATATATTGCAATATGTTTCTAGATAACTCTCGCATCGAACTAGTAAAAATCGATTACTATATAGGTTATTTTTAAAAAAATAGGATCCCCACTCGAGGATTCTTCTCGAAAAATATATTTTTAATAGAACGTCTTTAACTATACACAAAACTCTTCGCAAACATTATTCGATATATCGTTCGTTCAATTCGATGTTACGTTGTTCCTAATTTACCACTCGCAGGCAAAAAAAAAATTCCGTTACTATTCGAATGCATAACCGCTCAAAACGTAGTTGCGATGACAGCGGCACGTGTCATGGCGAGTGTGTTGTTGTAAACGAAAGTCGTGTACTGCGAGTCGTAGGTAAAATCGAAAGCTATCAATTACAATATTCAAAATGAGAGAAGACACGGTGTTAAGTTTAAAGTGGCATAGTTTCCCGTCACATTTGGCGGTTTCCCTTGATACGTGCTATGAGAAGCAACAGTTTGTAGATCTTTCTTTAGTATGTAAAGATGGGACAATTTTAAAATGTCACAAAATGGTATTGGCCAATTCGAGCTCATTCTTCAGACGTTTGCTCGTTGCCAATGACCATCCTCATCCTATGATTATTCTTCACGATATCGAAGCGGACGATCTCAAGACTATCGTCAATTTCATGTACTGCGGTGAAATACAAGTGGTTCAAAGTGAGGTTAGAAGATTACTAAAATTGGCCGAAATCTTAGAAGTTACCGGATTGCGGCATATTCAAACTTCCGTTTTGATAGGAGAATCGAACAACGCATCTCATGAGACGTCCAGGAAAACGACAACGGTTTCTCGTTTGAAAATCGAAGAAACAAAGAGTTTATCTACTAAAAGTGTACCTGAGCATGATTCTAATGTTAGGTCACAAACTAAAACAAACAGTCAACCTGCAACAAAGTTTCCGTCGTCTACTCATCTTCATAAAGGAGGAAATAAAGTTACGCTTGATACTACCAAGAAAAGCGACGAGGGTAATATTAATTTATTAAGTCAACGTTTGGACACGGGAAGATCTGGAATCAGTATTGTAGACATTAACGATATGCCAAGTACCAGTAGAGGAATTTCCAATCCACCAGCCCAAAAAAGAAAAGAATCATCTGAACCTGTCATTAGTTGGCCTCATGTTTTGTCCGCTATATCAAAAGATAAATCTTTGCCTTTGAAGAAATTATGTATTATGGACGAAGTAGAGATTACAGCTGGGAAGCCATCTACTAGTAATCAAGAAATTCAGATGATCGAACCGTTAGATAGAAGAAAACAAAGAACTAATTCGGAGAGCAACGAGTCTATGAACTGTGCAGTTTATATAAAAGATGAAGTGGACTTATTTGAAATGGAAGAAGATGCAGATATGGACCCCCTTGAAGTTGAGGAGATTGAAAATGAAAATTCAGAAACTATTATAGGAACTTCTGAAATGTTTACTGTTGCAAATGTGGATCAAACGTATTACACTACAGGAACATTTTCAGAATATCCTCCAAGAAAAGGATCTAATGGTTAATAAATAAAACAATGTGTTTTTTTTTTTTGAAATTGAAATGATTAATATATGTTTGTTTTGAATATAATACTTAGACTGAATACAATCATTTATGATTATAATTTTTTCTTTAACCAAGCAAAAAGCTACAAAATTTCAACTTATATAAATTAACCATAGTTCACTATCTTACTTGTTACTTTCTTACATGATCTTGTTCATTTTATAATAAATCAATTCAAAATACATGGTTCAGATTTAATTCACCCTTAACCTATCCAATACAATTTATGTTAATACATATGTTACGTGTTTCTATGGAAACATTGCACAGTTTATTTTTCAAAGTTGGATCAATTTTACCTGACAGTTTGCATTAATAGTAAGCATATGAAATATGGATAAAGAAGTAGATCACGTTAAATTGGGGGAAAATGTAACAAAAGGCCAACAAATTATGAATAACTTAACAGTTGATAAACACGTAACTGATGAAGAATTTCAGAACTTCATGATCCGCGTTACTGAAGTCGGTAAGCATTATTTTCCTTTGAAATGCAGCAAACGTAATATTCGATTTGTCATAATGTTTTAAGAAAAAATTGTGAAAAAATTGGCATCCTCGGATCCTGAGGAACAAAAACATGGACAAATATTGGCCGATGAAATTTTAGAAAAACGACCAGGAAGAAATGTTTGCGAAAATACTGGGTTGAAAGTAAAAACTAATCGTACAGTGATTAACAAATGTTCGATTAATGAAAATTCTACCGACGAACAAATGTCCAAAGGTACTAAGTAACAATTCTGTTTGTTTGCATTTCTATATTCATGTAAAGTTTGTCTATATACTTAGAAGCGTTTATGAAAAGTGTGGAGAAAGATGCGAAAGAAAGGGCGGAGAACCGAAAGATTAGGAATGAACGAGCAGAAACATTGAAAATGATTGGTAATGGGGCATTTAGGGAGAAAAATTACGAAAAAGCGGTAACATATTATAGTAAAGCACTTGAACAACGAAAAGATTCGACTGTGTTATGGAATAACAGGGCTTTATCATATATTCAACTTGGATTATTTGAGAAAGCCTTAGCCGATTGCGAATGGGCACTAAAAGTTAGCAACACGAATTTGAAAGCCCTTTTAAATAGCGCTAAGTGTTACAAACAACTTGGAAACGAAATAAAATACAAAGAACATATTCAATTAGCAAAAGAAAGAAATCCACACTTTGATAAGTTTATTAATGGTATACTTAATGTATTTTTACATTGGAAACATTTCTATCATAACTAAGCTTTTACTTGAATTCCTTCTCCCTTTTTTGTAGAATTTGAAGGAAGTATGGAATATGTGCATTAATTACCAACTCTGATCTAGTAATGCTCTCTCACGGTAAACAATAGAAATATTTCTTATGTAGTACGAATATTTCTTTTGTAATAATCTAAAATGTATTTTGCTGGTGTCACGATGTGTCTATTTTTGTTGCATAACGTTCTTTTATCTCTGAAAGAGATCTAGGTTCATGCAAAAAGACTGTACACTCAATACCCTGAAAAAAGTTGTTACTGAAATTGTTTGAAACTTTTATATCTTATAATATAAATACTTATACCTGCATACGTGCTGCTCTAACAAATCCCTCATTTGCAGACACCGTAATACTTTTTGTATCTTCCCCTGTTGCAAAAACTAATCTAGATCTATCTTTAATTTTACCACCCAAACTTAACTTCTCCATTATTCTGCCTGTTGTCACATTGTTAACAATTCGAACTTTGTTCAATAACTCTTTTGCTCTAACAGTCTCTTTGGGTCCACCGATAACATCTATAATATTCATAAAATTTTCATAAGCGGTTTGACAAACAATCAATTCTTTGCCTTTGAATAAATTCTCTAAAACTGGTTTCACTGGACTCTTTCTCTCCATCTCTGCTTGCTGTGTGAGTAATGGTTCCCGGTAAATAAAATAATCATAACCATTGGTCATATTTGTCACATATGCTAATAAAGTTGACACATCCAAGTTAAGAATCTTTATTTCAGTTTTAAGGAAAGACGTATTTAGAGTGTTTAAATCTGAATTTATACTTTGTTCATATTCATCCAAAGGTTCCTGTTCTTCGGAAAGTTCTAACGAATACATCCATGTAGTAGAAACTCTGCTCTCGTTATCTATCTCTAGAAGAATAAATATATTTTTAAATAGCATTCTTTATTTCACAATATCATACATATTCGTGCATTTATTTAATTAAGAAAATACAAAATGAATACCATGTATATCTACATTTGTTACATCTACACACTGTATTTTATCTCCTTCGACAATCACTCCCATACGTTCTAGACATGCTGCTAACGGAGTCTCTATGCCATAGGCAAAATGGAATATAACATCAGGAGGCCTATACAAGTGCGGGTGACATTTTGCACATTCCAAGTAGCTTGTTGCTTGATCAAGCACAGATTTTTGTCCATATTCTCCGTTACCCATCGAAATCATTGTGAGAGCTCTAGCATTTCTCGCAATAACCTTTATCCACGATGCACCACTATTGCATACGATGTCTACTTCTAAGCGTGACTTTTGATACTTGAAAGGTTTCATAATATTGGTAGGTTGATTAGCACCAAAGAGTCTCGCTACAATCGCATTCAAATGAATCAAATTTGTACTCTGTAGATGTTCTTTTTTTACATTTCCTGTAGATTGTACCTTTATGAGAATAGCACATAATTATAATCCTGGTATTTCTAATTCAAAATTATATAACATTTCAACAATCTGTCATATTTATAGATGATATTTTTGCAAGAAAAAGATACTACAGAATGTTTCACAGCTTGTACATTTATAGATACAGATAACGGCTATTGAGTGTCACGAAAGAACCGGCTGTGTATGATTTCTATAGCGTTGACAATAATCTTGAATGAACATACCTTCTCTAAAAATCTAATTTCTTGTTGAATCTTTCGTATAAGTTTTTCTATCCCGTCGATCTTTACGACAAGTTTCAATCGGTCTATCGTGGCCTTGCCACTGTCTATTTTTTCCTCAAGGCATGTTAAAAGCTCAGCCTTTTCCTCCATCCTTCCAGATTAAACGGTTATCAGCAAGTTGGCCATGAAAAATTGTATTTTCGGTAGTAATTCTAATAATTTTGGATAGTTCACGATCGACGAACGTAGTGTTAGCAGCCATCTTGCATCACAGTTCAATATCGCGTAATGTCGTCGGGTCGCTTGTCAAACTCGTCTATTAACCTCACAAACTTTTGTATTTCACTGAATAATTGACAGTCAAACATAATACATGAATCGTAACGATACCATGTTCCATCGAATCGTGCGAAATGTAAAACTACAAACAGAAAACTAATTCGCGAGTGTGAAGCGAACGAAAATAAACCTCCTTATCGCACTGTAATTATTGCGCGCCGCCAACTTTTCTTTGACAATAATAGAGAATATTACGGTATTTAAGCTGCAAAATGTCTAGCGCGAAGATCATCGAAAATCCAGAAATACCGGGTGAGTTTCTATTCCTACGAAAGAATTTTCTTCATTGATTCACGTTGTTAGAGACATATGCCCTAGTGAATCTAGTGTATCGAAAATGTGCAAACTGGTAAATCTCCCGAACACATCGATCATCGAAAATATACAACATTCATCGCGTTGTCATTGATATGTTTAAAAAGAAAATACTTTTTATGAATGAAACGATGTCGCTGCAAATGCGAATGCACGTTACGTAGTTGTAACGGTTCGTACAACAAATAACCGGATGTGACTTTTGATATATCTATATCGGTCAATTATCAAAACAATTACTCGAAGTATATCACGTCTTACGCCATGCACGTGAAATACAAATAGACGTTGGCCACGGGATATTTCTACGTTTACTGTAAGATTTCATTCAGCCTTTGATCGTCGAAATCAGCTGATGGCTTAAAATATGAAATAACAGACACGTACTAACGCAACGACGCGATACATTTTTGCCCCTTTTTGCACGAAAATGTAAAACTCATGAATGAAATCGAAATTTATCGGTATATCGTTATGAATTAAGCGGCGATGAAGATACGAATGGAGCATACTGTCGGTTGCAATGCTCGTAATACGTATATAAACACACGATTATCGTTTAAACACGGCACGAAGCGTTCATCGATATTTTTTTTACGAACGTTACATTGATCACCGTAGCTGTCCGTTTTACTCTGTTCCGCGTGATACCGAAATTTTTCCCCGAAATTTGGTAATACCCATTATTTGGTTATTCCCATTATCTCGATGGCGTAAAGCTAATCGCGGGTGCTGAAGCAAGCATGCTCGATCCTGAAGTGCAGAGTGAATATAACATGTAGTCGATAAGCGAAATGCGCGTGCTGTCGTTTGTACCCGCATGGAAAATATATCTTGCATGTTACGTATAAAAATGACCGACATTACGGCATTCGTGTCCGCAGACTTGTTCAAAATTAGTAAAATTAGTCACAGCATTACGTGCAATTAAATCCGATCTCCCAGCAAATTGCGTCGATACGCATCTCCCCTTTATACTCGATCACTTTGTATTTTTGATATTTTGCCCGCGCATTTTCATACGTACCACGAGCATGCTTAAACTCTTCAGACTTTTTATTACCGCCATGAATCTAAAGTTTAACGCACATTCCTTGATACCTATACTTTGTGTGCCTGCTTTCAGGTTTCTTCCTTTTCTCTTCTTCATTGAAATTAACATTTTATTCGTTTATAATACAGGATTAGAATGTTTTCTGCCGCCGCCACCGCCACCCCCGCCTCCAGTTGGAACAACGGCGAAAAGCAACAACTTGCCAGTTATCACGGAGCAACTACAACAACAACCGATATTAACAACAGAAGCAATGACCGGTTTATCGAGCAACGAAATACCGGAAAATCTGACGGCGATTCAAGCACCGACTACGCCGTTTCCAAACCTCTCCGTGCCAACATCGTACATCATGCATCCGGCGATGCAACCGCAAACGCCTGGACAACCAGCTACACCCTGGTGGATACCCACGGACGCGGACACATCGGACCTTTATGCACGGTGGTATGACACGACTTACAAGGCGGCAGCTGCGGCGGTCGTGTCGCCGACGATCCAAGTTTGCAACAAAACCAAGAACAAGTATTATAAACGGAAAAACGAGTTCATCGATCCCGCGTTAGATGCAGGTAATTAGAAAACATTTGGCAATTTGGCGATTCGCATGAGGCGAGAAGAAGAAGCGTGACATATTTGTTTCGTTTAAAAGTTCGTCTGCCTTTTCACGGGATAAATGCTCTATGAGATTATCATTGAGAAATGAGATTGCAGATTGCTACGGCAGTTTAGCTAATTAAAGATTGATTTATGTTTCTATTTCGTAGAGAAAGTTGCAAGCGCCCAGAGGGAATTGTCAACGCTAATGAAACCGCTGAACTGCGATCTGTGCAATGCAGTTGTAAGGCTCGATTACTTTGTCCGATAAAAATACGCACAAGACCCTGTCGAATATCGTGGCGTATTAAACTGACACGTAACTATGAACACACGAACGGATCCGAAGTGATTAAAAATGAACGATTTCAGATGAACTCGACGTTACAAGCCAAGTTACATTACGACGGAAAGCCGCATCAGAAGAAGGTATCGATGTTTTTAAATCAGAGCGTAAAGAAACAAAAGACCGACGACGGTCAAGTTAGCAGTACGACTACCGATTGGCAAAATTATTGTGACGTAAGCAGTTGAAAAGTACATAGATGGAATGCCGTTATAAGAGGTAAAGGTCGACGGGGAGTATAATACGGGGAAAAATGGTGTTTGATTTGCAGATTTGTAAAACGTGGTTCACGTCGCAAACGGATGCGACGCAACACTACGCCGGTAAAAAACATATTAGAGCGGCGAACGGCGGACGTCGTGCGAGGTACAGAGATGTATACTTGTCTCTAATTATTCTTAGAAAGATAGCTGTGTCAGCCGAGATCGTCATACCAGAGCGTTGAATTCTACAGGCCGTCGAAGAAGTCGCAAAATCAAAATCAGTACAGTCAAATAGATCCCAGCGGCCGATTTGGGATAGGAATGGCTTTTCAGGCGGAAGTGCAATCTGTACCGGCACAGCCGGTAGTACCTGATGGTAGCAATGCGGTTCCAGCGCCAGGAACCGGCTCCATCTACACACCACCACCTTATCCAACGCCGTTGCGTTGCGATTTGTGCGGAGTATCCGCTAATCGGCAGGACCAATTAGAAACGCACAAACGTGGCGCTAGACATTTGAGGATGCTCAGGTTGAACGGATTGCCTGTTCCCGAGCTTGGTAAGCATTCCATATACTATCGTTCGTATCACGGCAAACAATGTTTATCGTACGGATTTTCTTTTAGCCATCGAGAACGAGGTGACACCCGCTACTCCTGGACCCATAGATTATTCTATTTACCGAACGCCATCAGGTAGGAGAGAACATTCTGAGATTTCAAAGTAGCATGCGACGTGGATGGTATCGTGATCACGAGCATAGTGATCACCTGGCAAACCGTGTTCTGTTTGCAGGCCAGTATTATTGTGCACCGTGCAATCTGTCGTTAAACTCCGAGAGTACGTTTGCCCAACACGTGGAGAGCAAAAAGCATAAAAATCAGTCGAACCCAAAGTCTCCGTGTAACGCAGTGGTGGTGCCGAAGAAAGCTAGATTCAAGAAGATATAAGGCTACGGGGACATCGTACACTCGTGTACGATCTGCGCACGCTATTTCTTCGTCTGTCCATTGTTTTCACTGAAACATTTTCTCTCATTTTTCGGTTACGCAGATGTATTGTCGTTGTACCGAGGCAACGTGCAGCGATCTGTGCCTAAAAATAAGAAATAAAACTCTTGTTCGATATAGGGTGTGCCGGCGAGACTTTGCAGAAAGTCAATAACCTCCGGATCTTGCAACATGGTCGCGAGACGAACGAAAATTATGAATTAATGCGAGGATAGATCCGATCGTCGCGCGACTGATGAGAAAGATAAGTCTGTTAGTGCGCGAGCATATTTAAATTAAATACCGATTAACTCTAAATTCGATTTTCGTTAAAGCGAAGCTGTTATTTAGACGGTAGCTCGTTAACCGTCTCGGAGGCTGCGCCACTAATCGCCCACATTTATTCAATTACGAAACCATTAGCTCGAACGCTCCCCGCCGTTCAATTCGCGAAATCGCACGCGCTTGTACGAACACGCGTTTGTCGCGTCCAAGTGAAATTTATGCGTCGTTCACTCCCGACCTTCCACAGAATTTATGACTGAGCGAACGAGCCATACCGAACCCTCCTCTATTAATTACCTCCTAAGACACGTATGACGGATCAACGTTTTCAGCCTGTTTTTACTGTCACTTCCCCGCGACGAATATATCTTTTGACAGCGGTGACCAAATAAAAATGTCGGTGTAAAGCATGAATCAACGAGCGAGAAACCCTGGAGCTACATTCATGATACCCAAAAATGGCAAGAAGAAACGTAAAAGCTCCTCTGTCTTTTCGAAAGAAGAACGAATATCGTTTGCGTTGTAAGGCAGAAAAGCCGGAGAGAATTTTTCAAGGGACTAAAATTAGTCGTCGTCGTCGTCGTCGTCGTTGTCTTCTTCGTTGTCGTCGTCGTGGTATCATCCCGAAAGGAGGAATTTTTCGTAAAAATTTCAAAAGCAGCTCGAAGCTGTTGAAAGAAGAAAAAGGAAACGAAACATAGGCAACGTAGATCTCGTATCCTGAAAATTCCTACGAAACCGTGTTGCTTCTCCCGTTTGCTCCGTAAGCTTACATTCCGTTGATTTTCTAACAAACTCGCGCCACGGCAATTCACTCAGCTAACTATTTTCTTCTGTCGCTTCTTTTTAGCTTTCCGTCTCTCGCAGCTTCGACTCCTGCTATTCTACCCAGCGTCTAAAGATTAGGATCGTCCTCGCGTGGACTTGTAGATCGCTGGTTTATACCTGCGCTTCGGATTTTTATGACCCTTGGTTCCACGTTTAACGTGTCTCCTTCCTTTTTTATTCCTCGCTGCGTCCTCCCACTCTACGACATCACCGAAATCCCTTTTCCATCTTCCATCGTTTCAGCAATACACATACCTACGCGCTACTATTTCTTTCTCTACTCTCGCCTTTACCATGGGTGAACCGAAATGCTGATTTTATGCAACGTAATGGCGTAGGAGCTGCCGAGAATTTCCAGGCAGAGACGAAGAACGGAAGTCAATTCGTAAGACAATCATAAAGATAATACTCGACGCGATAAGAACGAGGGACGGAAATCGATTTGTCATGCGATCAGGTGTAATACGCGTAAAAACTTATTAATCGCCGCGCGTCCGCTTAGAAATTCGATGAAATTCCTCCCGATGACTCGAGGGAATTTCTCAGAACCTGAGACCGTAGATAGAGAACGAAAGAGGGAAAGAGAGAGAGAGAGAGAGAGAGAGAGAGAGAGAGAGAGTGAGAGAGAGAGAGCGAGAGCTTTGGGTCGTCTTTCTCTTGAAATTGCCGACACTGACAAGCGAAGATCGCGCAATAAACGAGAGCAAACGATCGACGAATTACATTCGAGCTCGATTCGAGATTAAAAAATTTCCTAACTAAATCGAATTATCTTCGATTCGACTGTAATTTATCCTGCACGATAAATTTCACTGTGACGAAATAAATCATGTTGCGGAACATGTAGCAGTATAAGCACGTATAAACTCCATTATGAACGGTTATGCAACTATTCACGCAGAAATCCTCTTCCGTGGTCGCGTGGATCCACGTTATTAGCGGGACACATCGATCCAAGGATCGTTTCGGATAACGAGCAGCGTGGAACTCGGATATGGACGCGTCGAGTCATCGAGCGAGTAACTTTTACTAAAAGCGAACGACGAATCGGTATTTTAGCATTGCATGCGCGACGATTAGGATTTCCAATGTTTAGCGCTACACGGATGATCGACCAGGTGTAGGGTCTACGATGCTTTGAAAATTATTCTGTCAATCTTCCCGCTCACGGTCTCGCGAACGCGATCTCGAGCGAGCGATTTTAATAAGTCCGTGGCCTGTGGAGCCAGAGTCGGTGAATTTTCTTTTCACGCGAACCTTCGCTTCTAATTCCGCAAACGGGAACGGCTTAAACCATGTTAGTGCGAGAAACGGTACCGGTGCCAAGCAAGAGCAGCCGCTCCTTTGTCTCACCGAATCCATTGTTCCATCCGAGTGTAAAGAATTGGTAAAAAACAGCTCGAAGAGGCAGCAGGCGAACGAGAATGCAAGGATTTCTTTTCTGTCCCGTTCGCCAGCCCTTGAACAAATTCGTACAATTATTTCTCGATTAGGCGAGATCGTTGGGCACTGCGAGGAACGACGAGGCCAGATTGGTCGGTGCGCGACTCGCAACGGGAGAAAAAGGACGCGTGTGCCTCGCAACGCGACTGCTTAATCGCGGAAATTTCGCGGGACGACACACCCGCTTTAATAAGACGTTTTTGCGAATCGGTCTGCGGAACAGAGGGTAAGAGTGGACGCGACGAAGACACGAAGACGCTGGGCGGGATGAAAACAAAAGGAAAGGGAATAAAAAGCGTTGCCGAGCGCATCTCGGTGGGGCTGACCTTGCAAGTCTTCACGGGCCACCAATGTAGACCGACAAGAAAATAGAAAATCGTGCTCCTAAATGCGGGCGGTGTGATGTCATGCGGAAATAGCCGTCCGTCTATGCCCTCCACCGCCGCGACAGAGAAAGGCGAACGGGGAATCTTGATCGGTCGACCGATTACCTACCTCGTCACACTGGGCTTCCAAGGAGCCGATAGACGGTTCTGCCTCCGCGATCCGTCAACGAAAGCTCGTTTGCGAACATCTCCAAATTATTTCCCGCTCTATTTTGCCGCGCAATCTTAACCTCCTTATCTCTGTACTTTACCGCTCACGTGGATAGCACCTACAGGTAATCTATCGTGGTTTATGGTCGCGCCATTATCGAAATTCGTATTTCTCCTTCCCGAATTCGGTGACGCGTCTTTTAACGTCACCCGCGCGAATTAATTTCTTAGTCTCGATATATAATTGCATCGTCGGCTGCGGACGAAGTCGATAAGATTACCGATGTACGCGATAGCGGTAGCGTATGCGTGTCGGTAATGTAGGAGATATTACGAAAAATAACGATCATCCTTAACCACGAAGACAAAGACCACACGATTGGATCGCGTTGAATGAACCCGTGAGTCCGATTCAGGGAATACTAGCGATCCATGCGATTAAAACGTTTACAAGATCGGCAGGATACCGATTACCCTGGCATTGGTCTCGTACAACGCTTCGCGTTACTTCTCGCGCGATTTCCCGTCTCATTCGCATAGATTATCGTCGCAGATTATTTTTTTCGAAAACTTCCCACAGTGTTTCGTTGGCAGAGAAAATGGGATCGAGAGGCGTTTCTGTCAACCTCGATGTTTCAGTAAAGATAATTCGATATAAATTCAGTTAAACACCGATCGCTGTTTAATTTAACGGCGAAGTGAATCGACAGTGACGAACACGATTACACGTAGTCATCCGTGCAATAAATTACCTGTAGCACTTTTCGCATCGACCACGTGACCGAAACGTCTCGAAAATCTAACGAGTTGATCACGTGGTTTCAAAGTACAAGGAATCAACCAGTTTGCATCACGGAAGAAGCACGCGTGACCAGGTAAGGATAGCTTCATAGCCGATTTTCGAAAGGCTCTGGCGGATTTCGTCGGGTAGTTGATCGATTGGAGAAAATGGCGATTAAAAAAAGGAGCATTGCGTTTTATTGGCGACCAAACGTCGATCGCATGGCGAAACTCGTGCGATTACGATTTTCGGACGGATAAGAACGATCGTAGGCGCATTTCTGAATTTTCGAATTGCAGGTATCGCCCAGCATGGAAGATCCACGGGTCGGTGCACGCGGTGAAAGGTCGGCCGAATAGCGAATTTGTTGAAAAAGGAAAGACAGACTTGGACGAAGGTAGGAATTGAAAGAAATTTCGAACGACGTCTGATGGTGGTTGCCGTCGAATGAAAGTCACCAGGAATTCGAGTCCGGAACTTTGCGGATGTGTATGAGAACGCCCGCTGTCATACCGCCGGCGCGATCGCGCATGCGCGCGGCTTACACTTGACGGGCTCAAAAAATCAATGACCCCGCTCTGAGTCGTGGGTCCGTGTTGGCGTGTTTTTGTCTACGAGGTAAGAAATTGGAGAATAAAATCAAGGATCGGTGGAGGGCAAGGTGGACGATCGAGGAGAAGCGATCGGTGAGAAGAGGAGGAAAATTGGAGGTAGGAGCGAGAAAGAAGCCGATGGAGGAAAATGGACGGTAAGGGTGCAGCCCCGGTGGCGGCGCTGGTGTAAAACGGCCGAATAGCGGTGTTCGGTGAAACCAGCCGAGCGACCTCGGCTCGTTTCGGCTCGCCGCGTTAGTTCGTGTTCTCTCGCAGCACACGACGGACGTATCGTATACGCGATAGGTCTCGTGTTCTCTACTCCGAAAAAAAACTAACTGTTATCCGCCGCCGAATGAGCGTGGAACACGTAATTCGGTGGTTCGCGTGTACACGAAAAACTGTGCCGCAAGTCGAGAAACGGAGCGGAACGCGCATCTCGGGAAAACGACACACGAGGTCGTAGTGCTCCGATCGGCGATAAAGTTTCGTAGTGACTTGTGTAAAAAGAAAAAAGTGGTGAACCGGAG